GGGGAATTCACCTTTATGCAAAAGGTTAGCATAGTTTAACTGTTTTAAGTTGGACTCTATGGCAAACAGGCTCTAGACAAATGGCAGAATTTTTTTTAAAAAAAATATTGGTTAACATCATTCAAAAATAAAATATTGAGCAAGTTAGGGTGCCCAGTACCCACTCTTTGTGTATAATAATGTGAGAATGGGATTAGATTGAGTCAACACTAACGACTGTGCTAAAGCTGCATCCCCTGCAAACAGGTCTTAATCTGTCTCTAGATTAGCAAGAAATGTAAATCTCAGCCTGCTTGATTCCAAGTCCACAAACTTTAATTTTAGCTTTGTTTATAAGAATAGCCTTTATGTGGAAATTTCTTTCAGAGATTAAAGAAAACATCGCACTGAGAGCTACTAAAAAATAGGTAAGAACACTTTCCATTTCTTTTTCTCTTTGAGCAAGGAGGAAGCTTGCAAGAACCGGCTGAGTTATTTGCCTGATGCCACTCCATGAGTAATGGAGCAAGGAACAAAACCAAGAGCTCCTAATTGCTCACTGACACTGTCTAAAGGAGCAGCATCCTCAGCTACAAAGCTCTGAATTTGCATTTTGTGGCAATGCTATATGGGATGCAGAAGAGTGAGGAACCACTGGCTGGATGAAGACTGTATTGTTGGTTTATTATTACATCCAAGGACAAAGTAGATCAGATCCAGATCTAAGTGCCTCAGCATTGTTAGTGTTCAGCTCGGGATTGATGGTTCACTCACTATTATGAAAATGGGTTCAGAGTGTGTTTTGATGTACTTTCTACAACTAATACAGATTATTACATAGGAGAAAAGAACTATTGTGATTACAACATATAATAAGCTATAGAGGGTGCCTTGTTATATATCTCAGTCTCCTGGAGATGGTGTTTAACACATTTCTGCATTTAGGCAAATAAAACTTTCACAGAGGTCAAAAATCATTGTATACTTATTAAGGATACTGACAAAGCCAAAAAAAAAAAAAAAATAGTTAATACCATGGTTAGGCTCTCATTTAGGAGATTTCGCAGAGAAGAGTGTTACTTAAAACTAACTGCTGTCGACCATTGGAGAAATGAGGAAAGATACTATAATCTTATGCAATCCCAGTTTTGGTCTGTTCCCTTGACCTGGATTAACCTTTTTCCTTTTATCTATATTTTAATTCCAAACACCTCACTTGAATGCGACTGTATCCAGGTCTCTGCTAAAACCTTTAATGTGTAACATTAAGGTCAGCGGAAATAATTTTGAACTCTATTATTGTTTCATACAAATACTGTAAGGATCCTTGAATCTCCCATAATTATTTGTGATTTTGGTCTCCAGTGAGGTGTTCAGCACCTGGATGTATTTAATATATTAATTTCTTTTTTAAGTTATTACATTTTAAGGGCCATTTAAAATATGTATTTCGTGTATTTCCTCTTCTTAACTTGGCACTGACAGGCACACACGCTGCACAAAGGCTGCACAGAGCTGGGCTCAACTTTCTTTTGTGAACAAGAAATAAACAGCAAAATGGCCATTAAAATCTTAGCCTAAATATTTCTATTATTTTCTTGTGTGAAAAAAAAGGATAAATTTATATATAGCATGCTTTTAGTACTCTCACATTATGGCTGACCACTATTAGGAGTAGATGAAAGATCAGCTGTGCATTCTTTCATTTTATTACATCACACTCAAATGTGTTGTTTTGTGCAATCAATATTAACAAAGATCGTGTTCATTAAAATGTGCACACTGTTCTGTAGACTGAATACAGCACATAAAACCTGTTGGCTTCAATCAATAAAAATCCCAGAGCTGCACAGAAGTTGCTGTGTCATGAAACTACAAAGCTATTAACACTTTATTTTTTTAATTTTTTTTTATATGGACATTAGCTAATTCTTTTATAAATTATAAGGTATTCTTTTCATTGTTTGCATCATATTAATGCCATGGGGACTTATTAATGGGCCAGGACTCCAGATGCTTTTTTTCCAGTAGCTGCTCACATAAATGTGAGAAATTCCCTTACATGGTGTCTCTGACTTACTTTTAAAATGATTCCAAATTGGTTTGGATAAAAGCCACGTGGGTAAGGCCAATATTGCTACAGAGACTGAAAACTGGCTGGTAGACAGGATTCCATAAACTGTAACGGGCGTGCAGTGAGGGTCAGACTGATGGGGGCAGATTAGGGGTAATGTGGGCAAGACCATGAGTTGAAGCTCCTGGAAGGGATGTGATATAAAGCTGAATGCTTGGAAAGGTAACAGTGTAGTGCAGCAGAGGATGCAAGCAAAAACAAGAGTCTAGGACTCAGATGCCCTTCGAATGTATCTTGCAATGCATCCTATCTTCTTACCTGGAAAAAGGCAGCTGCCTTGTAGTCTTACAAAGTCTTGACCTATGAAGTGTAGAAATTCCTTCTAGGCTTTGATTTAGCTTCTGCTTACATCTAATTGAACAGAAGAGTCTAAAAGATGCCCTCCAGAAAGAAAGTAGGCAGAGAGAAAACACTGGTTGTAGTATCTAGGCTTGAGGAGGAAGACATAGTAGTGGCCAGGGTCTCAATACAAAATGCCTTCTGCATCTTTATGGATGATTATTGCAGTAGTTGCCTCAAATGTCAAGTTCTAATGTCTTGAAATTGCAGGATACCAAGGGCCCCTAAAGCTGGTTAGAAAGGACTAACTCTTCACTGGTCTAAATCTAGTCCACCTCAGGACTGAGGAGTGCCTGAAAGTTAATCCCGTGATGAATGGTCTTCACAAATTTGGCTGTTCCTGGTCCACATCAAAACTGGCATTAAACAGCAGTCTCAATAAAAGATCAGAAGAACGTGAGCCAACTTAGGCTATCACCTTGCAGATTGTGTTTGGGGTGCATTCCTGGGGCTCTGGAGGAGGCTTCTAATGCCACTAACAACTTTCCTTTTCACATGCACAGAGATAAAGATGGCAAGTTATCAGGGAGAGGAGGAATAACACCAAGTGTGTTCTGAAGACTAACGAAACAGTGTAGGCATCACCCTGAAATAACATGAGATAAAATGGCTCCAAATAAGACAAAAAAAACACAATATATGTTAACAAGGCAGAAGCTTCCCCTAATCCCATTCTATTTTTTTTTTTACTCTTTTCCTATAATTTTTATTTTTTTATTTTCATCACGAAAGAGATGATAGGATGGAGAATTTTTGCCTGAACAGAACCTCTGCAAAGCTGCAAGTGACTGCAAAAGGGACTTGCATGAGATGTGTCATGCAACTCCTATGACTGGAACCATTGCATTGCCTATGTCCATTATGAACACACATGCATCATTCCTCACTTGTTCATGATGAAAACATGGCTTTAGAGAATTGAAATGTCATATTTCAATAATGCCAGGATTTACTAAACCAAATTCATTTTCTCCCTTGCTTTTTAAAATTGCCCAATAGTTTTTCTCACTTTGGACTTGTCAAGATTTTTCCCCCTGTGTTTCTAAATTCCTCTTTTACACAGGTAATTTCATTTTTTAAAGCCTGAGCATACCAGTAGGATTTAAAGCCAATGCTAATTTATCTACATACCCAGAAAGTCTAATAATTGTTAAAGTTGGGTTTTTTTAATACAAAACAAACAAACAAACAAACAAAAACCTCTGAGGAATCTCCAGGATTCAACCATTTGACTGAGAATAACATTTTGGAGACCTGTTTGAAAACATATGGTGAAGCCATGCATAATATTTCTAGACAAACAAGCAGCAACATTCATAACAGTCATTTAAATGTGCCTAAAAAGAAATACATAGCTTTTACTGGTTTATGGGAATATATCACTAAAATAATAAATAAAAACTTACCACGTTCATGCTGGAATCTACCTGTGAGCTGCCAAAGATAACCCACATTAGCACAGATTCTCTGACTGGTGAACAAAAACCCCATGATATCTGCACATCCTGCACCAACACATTACACACTGCAGCTGTATGAAACCAATGGAACTATCAACAAATATGACATGGGTTAACTGAAACCATAATTTTGCATTCTCTTCTTTTAAAACAGGAAGGACATCAGGTACATTTTATTTATTTATTTATTTTATAAATCAATAGCTTTATAAATGTACAAATAAACCAAATATATTATATTTGTGTTGAAATATCATTTCAAGGTATTAGACTAAAGATTTTTAGTTTAGAGATGAGTTTAGGAAACATTTAAAACTCAAAACACCCTAATTACAAAATCTTATCAGCTTGGTTTTCCTATCTTATTCTGTAAAGAACACTATCAAATTTAAAATTAGATCCTTAGGCTGAAGGAAAGCAAAGTAAGCAAAACACAGGATAGAATATGAAAGTAATTTCTAAGTTAGAAACACTTTTGTTCAGACAAGGTTCAAAGTTACAAATCTTTATTTCCTTTGATTGGGAAAACCTCCAACTAAATGTTGACCGTCATTCAACACAACACTTCAATTGTAAGCACACAAACATATTTCATCAGAGATAATGAAAGTGCAGGGATCATAGTCATTTTACTGCCTTGCTGTCATGGAAATAAAACACTTTACTGAATCAGGATCTTGGTAGCTGGACTTTCATCAAAATGCACAAGACCAGTGAGGAACTGTGAAAGACCAGGCAATCCATTCTTTTTAACAATGTTAATGAAATTAAACTAACTGAACTTAAAACCAAATCTACCAAATACTAATGGTTCAACCCAGTGGCTGCTCTCTTCTGAACACAATCTAGTATGCCAACTCTCTTCAGACACTTCTCTTTCCATAGAAACACCCTTGTTACTGTTCGCACAAGAGAATGCATCTTCATTGCTACTAGTTTCACCTAAACTCTGGAAGTGCTTATCTTAAAAGTTTAGTCTGAATTCAGAAGTGGTGTGATTAGAAAACAGACTCAATAATTCAAAATCACCGGCAAAGATCATCTGAGAAGATAAACAAATACATGACAAATCTCTACACACCAGAGCATTATAATTTTTGCAATTCAGACACCTTGGGCTCAATGTTCTTACTGTTGACACCAACATAATTCAGAGGAGACTCCACAAAGTTACTCAAGTGTGTAACTGTTTTGGACAAGAGACAGAAGTCTTTCAATACTCTTAGACCTACAGAGCTGGTAATCAAATGCCAACAACCCTTACCTTCCTGGCAAAATTCTAAACTAACCAAAAAGCAGGATGGTAAACACACAAATTAATAACATTTCCCACTATTATCCAGCTAACAATGGGCACTGTAGCAGAATTTAAAGAAGGTGTCTAATAGTTACTGTAGTAGGCTTCAAAGACAGAGGACTGAAAGATCCTCTACCATGAAAACTTTATTAGTAATCTAGCTGATTTCCAGATATCTTCCAAAATGGTATGAAATTAAACTTAGGAAATCAAGACCAGTGGTGAAAATCACTTGATATGGTAAACAACCATATGTAAACAAGTTACAACTCTGTATAAAACAGAGCTTTATAAGTGAGTTAGTTCTTAGTAAATAACTGGAAGGGAACTGTAGCTGTTAGAAAGCCAGTTACAAGAAAAATTGGTGTTATTTTGCAACTGTTCCAATGGATCTTATCAGTCAGCACAAATCAGTTGTATGGAAGTCAGTCCAAACTGGGGAGGTGTTTTGGTTTACTTGTCCCACTCCTCCTGTTCTTTTGGAGCAGCAACTGGATGGAATTCTTTCCCCACACTATGTCCTATATAATAGACCAGGTTTTGCTCCCAGATACACTTCTGTGAGGCAAGCACAGCTCCAGCACATGCTTCCTTGCAGGGCTGACAGCAGACTCAGGCCCACAGCCTCAGTCCAGAAACAATCCTGTAATGCTATGGACCAGCATAGACTGGAAAATTTAATGGAAGAATCATCTTTTCACTGAAGTGTTACCTCTCACTCCATAGATACGACCATCATTAATACCATACGCTCACAAACAATCCTCTAGCCCACCAAACTCGAGAAATGCAAGATCTCATCTGGTGCTCACTTACAGAAGAAGATACAAGAATATCTCTAATGAAGTCCAAAATCTTGCACTGGCCTGACAGCAGCACTGGGAAGAGACATGAAGTGTGTCCATGAACAATATATTAATAAAGAGATTAATTTTAAAATAATTGTCCTGCATCATCTTCCATTCCAGTTTCTCTGCAAATGTCCTTGTGGCCCATTTTCTAGGCAGTTTCTGGACTCTGTGTGTGTAAGGACTACTACTTCTTACAAACTCCATTAGAAAATACTTCTCTCTAACAAATCACCCACACATCTGTTCTCCCGTCCATGTCCTTTTAGCAGGCAGTTAATGAAGTTAGCAGCAGTGACCCCTAAAGTGATACTCATGGAGTACTCATTGCTAGTATGTTGCTCACAGTAATTCTTCCAGGCAGAGATGACAGGGAAGGAGTGGTAGGGACTTCTCTCTTCTGTTTTGATTTGTGGCATTTTTTTTTTCCTAAAGAGGATTTTAATGAAGAAGTTGAAGGTTGTCATGAATTCCCATTCTCTACTGACTTTATCCTTCCTCTTTTCCCCACTCAAACACAGGCTGCTTCTAGTCTGGCTGCATCAGCAGGCTGGCTGGGGCAGGTTTGCAGGTTTCCCTTTCCATCAAGGGCTTGGGGTGGGTGCTCCAGAGAGCCTGAGGAGGGCCTTCCACTGCTCCCATGGCTGGATGCAATTTCTCACCAACAGCAACCTCTTGTCGGCAGCGTTGCCCTCTCTCCAATTCTGCCAAAGCCTTTGCTGCTTTGTTAAATGCTATAGGCTGTTCTTCCACTGGAGAAAACAGATATATATTACTGAGAGTTATTTGAGAAGCTTGACAACAACTAAGCTAAGAGAAAGCTAATGGCATCTTTGAGAGAGAAGAGCTGTGAAAGGAAGTACGGAATCATGTTCAGAAAATCAGAAAACCAACTCATGTCAAAAGATGGAAAAAAAAAGAGACAAAGTTAAGAATTTGTTTCAGATTTTAAGAAACTACTTGTCTCAGGAAAATTTCATGGTTTTCTGTCTTAATACACAAGGACAGGAAAAAGCATGCCCGTGACAGGAAGACTACCTGCCTGGCAAAATGAAGGCCCCTGCTCTGAGGTGAAAATATCTGAGAATTATTCACTTGCATGGTATAAGAACTTTCTTTAACATGTTAAAAGAGACATCAGACTACTTTCCAGTCTTGTTGCCTAAAACGGTTGAAACACTTCTGCTAAAACTTTCAACCAGGAAAAAAATCAGACACCTGTCATGGGAAATTTCTGTTCCAATAGCTGGATCTGATAAAACTATAAATGAAAACAGTCTCCTAATGGGAAACATCAGGTGTCCTTCAGTGGACAATACAGTTTTACACATGTTCACAATATTAGTCCAATCAAGGAAATGTGAACCATATTTTCTACTGATAAATAAAGTGACTTCCCAACATATGTCTAAGGACAGGATAGGCAGTTTTGAAAATCTTGCAAGATGCCTGCCCATTCAAGTATCTTCAAACATTTGTCTTTGCATATTTCTAAATGACTGATGCAAACACGCAAAAATGGAGCTAGGAGGTGTATATACAGTAAATAAAGCAAATGGCTAAGGATAACAGTCTTTCTCCATTAGTTCCCACCATCTGAGTAATTACAAAGTTCAGTAGCCATCTATAAAGCAGCATTTTCTAAAACTCAGAGTAGTCCAGCTGGTAACGTGTGGGCCATGGAAGCCTGTTGTGTGCTTCTGTACTGCCTGCTGCTTTTGCACCAGGGATAGGATGCTCACCTTCATTTGTCTCCTCTTTGTTTAAGCATCAAACAAATACCTTGTTTAACACAAAAAGCAGAACCGCAGTTGCTGCTACAGAGCAAAAGGTTTCTGGGGAACCCTGCACTCCTTCCACTTTCTCAGTTACCCTGCCTGAGTGAATAAGGACTGCCAAAGTACATCGCTCCATGGATACACATTCCCCTTTGGTATGATGGGTATAACCTCTCTTGCAATGAAACAAATGTATGAAGTTCTATGTAAATGTAGAAACATATTATTACTATCACAAAAAGCATCTTATGAGTGTGAAAGCACAGTTGTAGTGTAATTTCTCATGAATAATCTGCAAAGGAAAGTTCCAAATAGTCTCTTCACAGCAATGCAAACATGACTTGTGCTGCACACAGCAGCTTTAAACAGGCCAAATACATAATTTTGATTTCTCTGTCTCGTCTATAAGCCACTGCTCCTGCTGGTACAAAGGTGAGGAGAGATCTAATAAGGAATGAAATGCTACTCACCATATCCTGAAGGACAGGCAGGATGAGGATCTGCTGTCTCACACTCAATCAGATCAACCGCTTTAGCCTCCAGAGAGCTGCTACACTCCTTAACAACTGCAAACTGCAAATACATACAATATGCACAAAATATACAGAGCCCAAATTAATATAAAATGAGCTGGCTTTCTAAAACCCAAGAGGAAAACTAGAAGGGCCACACACTCCAACCACAGCACGGGGAAAAAGGTCACCCTAGCTTCTGGGATGACCCTTCCCCTGCAGATTATTAAACATTTGAGTTGATGACAGCCCCAGTCTCTCTTTGGAAAGCGTGCAGTTACAGTCTAGTGAAGAATGAGCCATTCCCTTTCCCTGCAAAGCAACCTTTCCAGATGCAAAAACAAAAGTTCATGAAAATCAACCCTCTCCATAGTACTGAGGGCCACTTTTAAAGTATTAAAAGAGACTTGCAAACAGACAGCAGGAAACCCTGTCAGACACAGGGAAGGAGGTGAGCCTCCCTTTCTGTCTCTCAGCACCTCCTGAGGGGTAAGGTTCCATCACCCCACAGTGACAGTGGAAGTGACACCTCGGAAACAGAAGATGGGACCCTCAGGGGGGACGTGCTGAGAAGACCAGGGAGAAAACACAAAACATAGAGATAGGGGAAAGCAATATGAAGTACTGCACCACAATAGCATAGAGTGAAAGAGGGCAACTCCATGAAGGGGGGATGTTTAAGGAGCAGAAAGAGGGAAGAAGAGAAAATGTCTGTAAATAAAATGTTCCAACAGAAGGACTGACAGATTCAGTGGTCCAGGTGGGTAATTGGTGGCTTTATGTGGATAGATCACAGGTGTAGCAGGTGTGACAATTTAGGCATCTGTTCATTTAGGTAAAATCTGTAGGTTTACAGCTGCTAACCCACATGTGACAGACCCCTGGAGGAGGTCAGCGGCTACCCTCAGTTCTGCAAAATACCTTTGACTGTGCACACCTGCCAGGTGAAAAGTCTCTAAACACAATCAAAATCCAGGCATGTGCAGAAGTTTAGCAAGGCTTACATATCCCTAGGACAAACCTAGCCTGGCTTATTGAACTCTAATTTCAATGTGAAAAAGTACGCAGGCATACCCTCAGTTCAATGTAGCCTCACTTGGCAGAATAGAAGTAAATGGAAAAGTAAATTACACTTGGACAATTTATAGGTATAGTTTTACTATCACAATACCTAGTATTTGATATGTATGATTGTGTAAAATCTTGTTTTCCTCTACATGAGCCTAGATGGGCAAGAACAGGAAAGTCTTTTCACTCCCTCTCCCCAGCCTCACAAATTAGCAGTAGCAGTGTGGGCTACAAAAGGAATGAATTTCATGAGCTCTGTATAGTTACTGCATACACATCACCCAGTTCCCATACAAAGTCCTTCATTAAGATTATTAATGTTGTGTGAATCATTGGCACCCCAAAATCTATTCCAGTACCTTGAGAGTTGAGAAGCTATTCAGTTTTTTGTCACCGGTGTGGTATAATCTCTTTTTTTTGCATAAAGCTCCCCAGTAATCCCTTTTAAGTGAACAGTAGAAATGGATAACTTCCTGCTGCTTTTTGGCATCTCTACAATTTCTAACCTGAGTGCATGTGTGCATGAAGCCCCAGTGAACTTAACACTCAATGGCTACATCAGCACAGAGAAAATCACATGCATGAAACCACAGGAATCCTTTACTGTGTAAGCAGTAATAATTAGCAAAGGTTCAGTGATTTCCTCTTTCAGTCTGCAACAAGCCATTTGCAATAAATTACTTTATTAACGTATTTGATGTCTCCCAGTACAGGAATGCAGAGTGAAATTTAACACAAGTGTGTAATAGATGAGTAGGTTGGATTTGGTTTTGTTGATTCAGTCCATTGCTCCTATATTCAGCAAAAATGTGATTGACCACTAGCATTAACTGTTGGGACAACAGCAGGTGGGGACAGAGCTAATGAGCTACAGTCCTAGAGCATTGCTCCCAGGCAACAAGCTGTTCTCTATCCCAACAAATGTTTCTGATTTTTCCAGACTCAGATATTTTGCAAGCTGTGGTTTTGTCTGTACTGTGAACAAATGATGGCATCATTGCAATTCAGCACATTTGCTGTTCAGTACCTGGAGGAACAAAGTGCTGAAAACCAAAAATCCACAAGAGTATACATCTGACCAGCTAAGGAGCAATATGTTGTAACAAGGGTCAGGTCAATTCCATAGCTTGTTTCAGTAGCTAGCCTTTCACAGATCCTGCCAGACACTCAATGTAAACTATTTGTAAGGCCTTTACATTTATTAAAAATCCTTGGATTTGCTCTGTATATATTCCAAGACATTCAGCCCCTCAAACAGACTCCTCAAACAAACTCATTTCTTTCTGGACTGAAAGACTAGGAACAGACTCAAACTTCAAGCCATTTAAAGTAAAATTGTTTTTTGAGCATGACTACTACACACACACAGTTCTTACACCTTTCCAGCTATAGTTGGCTGGGGAAGGCTTTATGAAACCTTGCAGTAATGCCTATACTAGGACAATGTGTGTGCAGTTACCCCAGTAAAAAGGTATGTTCTTCTCTAGAGTTTATCACCAATCCCATACAAGTGTAAACTCTTCCAGTAGTCTTTTCCTCTGGCATAACTGTTGCTTTGAAGAGCGTTTGCTGCTTAGCTAACGTGATGCCACCTGGACAGCAGCTGGTTCTGAGCCGGATGATACGTGCGTGCAGGCAGGCTCTTAGGGTAAGTCATGCCATTCTGAGAAAGGAGTCTCAGACTGGACACTGAAGGAGCCACAGATGGCAATTATGTCACTTTTGCCAGCTTAAATTTTCAATTGCAATAGCCCAGCAGCGTAATGTCATTTTAATGCCGGTGAGAATCGGGGCCTTAGATCAGAGCAGATCTTATGGGGCCAAATTCTCTGACGCAAATTCAAACCCAACAGCAGAAACAGGCCAGTACAACCCAATCATGATGGTATTTCTACCAACAGCAGTACAAAATCTGTATTCTGTGTTCCCTCCCAAACTGCCCAATAACATCCTGGTTGGTTTTCCTTACAAGGCAGCAGCCTCTAATACAAAGACATTTAATTTCATCAGCTCCCAAAATAAAGTTCAACGTCTCATGTAGCACACACAAGACTTGGCTTCCCAGAAGCCTTTTTTACGGAGGGCATACTTCCCTGTGAAAATAACTCTGTGATATGCCATGTCATCACATTGCCATTTCCTTAATTTAGAACACAGTTCCCCAACTGTTGTGTTCAAAGCTAACAATAACACCGGCTAATGGTTGCAATACATCCAGGCAGCTGTGAACTTTGAGGGATAACAATGAGGTAAGATGAACTAGGGTTCACAGCAAAGCACTTGATGACTCTAGCAGTTATTTAATATATTTAAGATGTGAATTATTTGATGGATAATCTCAAGTGGATCCCTAACACTCTTTGATCCTTCCTGCTTCCCTCTCCACTCCACATTAATATAGTTACCCGAGACTTGTTGCTGGTAGGTGTCACGGTCTCATTGTCAGCACGGCTGCTGGCATCTCTTGTCGCTTCTGCATAGAGATTCTTCTTATACAAGTTCTGACTTCTGCAACAGAACAAAAGCTGAAACAAATTATTTTGCTTTGGGAGGAACAGATGCTGCTTCCTTTCATATGCTATTCTGTAGGTATTTACAGGAGGGATGTATATTTTGTTTTCTTTCATTGGTTTGAAAGGGTGCGTTACTGTCAATTACTGCACAGTGGTTGAAACAAACAGCTTGTTCGAAACAGGAGTCAGTGAGAAGTGAAAAATAATGGTCTAATGCGCCATCTGTAAAGGGTCATTCTTTAGAAAAAACAATAGGCCTCATACTTTTAACTAATCCCTTCCATTTATCCTATTTATATACATTCCACTTAAAAAGACTTAGATTTCAGCCAACACAATGAGCAGCATTTCGTGGATGAAGCTCAGAAACAAAAATCTGACTATTTTTGCACATCATTCATAATTACAGTTATGAAAGTCCCTTCTGCATTCATCTGCATCGTTTGTGGAAAATACACCATTTCAGAAATTTCTATGAAATAAACAAACTGAAAGCTTCAAAAAGCTTGGAACGAAGACATTTCCATAAAAAAAACATGAGCAACAGAATCAGCTCAAGGGGAAAAAACACCAGGAGTACAACCTGGAGCTGGAAAAGAATGCAAATAATCAGCTGTAAGTGGCTAGTTTCATAAATCCAAAAATTGATATTTTTGCTGTTCAACAGCAATCACTTATAAGGCAGTATTAAAAGTCCATACAGGCCCCAACACAGAAAATGATCATAAGAAAAAGAGCTCATTTACACTGCTTGACATCCAAATATTTACTATTTTACTTTACTATTATTTTAATATTTACATATTTACTAGCTTTATATACACATTTTTTCTCATCCTAGAGATAAGCTAACAAAATTAACGTTATGCTCTTCAAATTCCAGAAGTCTCAAGTTATAACATCCTCTTACTTTATCTATTTTAAATGAAATTTAGTAGATACGTACCAAAGAAAATAGGAATTTTCCTTGATTTCTATACCACATACACATAGTAACTGGGAAAGTCCATCTGCCACAATTATCATATGTTGTTCCCTTCATGAAAATACAATATGAACAAAATTTGCTTTTTGCTAGAAATGAGAAAGACCCATCTCCACCATGGATTTTATCCCCAGATTCTCTACAAAATGTTCCTGTGTATTCAAGTATTTTGAAAAAGAGTCATGGTCTCCAACAGAGGATAAAACTGAGACTATTAATACAAAATCAAATAGGTGTCAGATCTGAGTATATACCCACAGAACTGAATGCTGAGAAATAAGGTTAATTAGTCTGCTTTGACTTTTCCTGACACCGTGGCATGGCTGCTGTTTATGTTTTGTTACCTGGATGTGCCCTTTCTGCAGTGCAGATCATAGTGCTGACAAAACTCCATCCCCTTACTCAAGAGCTACAAAATCCATTGCACAGAGCTCACACACAGGCATGATCCTCAGCAGGATGTCCCCCTGCTCAAGAGGATCGTTAATGCTGTATTTTCCTCCAGTTCACACATTTTTCAAATTGGCAGGTGTAGATCTCCAACTTCATTCCCACCAATCAAAAGGAGATAGGTGCCTCCATTTTACAGGGGAAGGAACAGGACTGTTGCAGACTTAATCAGTGCATTTCAAAATATGGTAGATTATGTGAAGAAAGCAATATAGCAATTTCAACCCAAATACTGGCTTCCAGACTCCAGTTATATAGGGATTTTAGGTCAGTGGTTTCATTTTGATCTAGTTATGCTAGTAATAGTTGCAGTACAAATTCAGTCAAGCATGTAATTGAAAACTTGTTGTTGAGGTAAATAGTTATAGTGATCAAAAGCATTTGACAAGAAAGAAAGATAAATCAGGGAGAAATGACAAAAGGGAAAGGAAGGGGAGAGAATTAGTATCTTCACACCTTAAAATCAGCCATATTCTGGCTATTTTTCATGACAACTTATGTGACATATATGGGAAATATAAGAATCTTACAATTTGTCTGTTCTGTATGTGTCATTCAACTGATTAGCTTCTGAATCTCAGGTCATGAGAACAAACCAGGCTGCACTTGGCTTTAATACTGGACCTCTACCACTAGTTAATAGAAAATAAGAAACACGGCAGCTTTTGTACTTTTATTGATTAAGTATGTCAGCAACCATTAAATAATAATGGAAAACATTAACTTCTGTAGTTAACTTCTTTTGTATTTATGCCTAGGAGAGTCTAATTTTAAAATTAACCTGAACACAAACAAAACCCCTGCACACAGAGGGCAGGTCGACATGCAGCAGGAGATTCTTGATTTGGATGCTGTCTGGCTTTTTGTTTGTTTACTTTTAAATATAAATATGCATTTAAACAAGAGCATCTGAGAACAGTTGTCTGCCAAGGTCATGGCCAAAAGATTCTAACTTATTAAATGCTAAACGTCCAAGGGACATGGATGACATTTAATTTCACATCAGACTGGGTTCTTCAGTAGTGACTGTAGGGATTCCTTCGGCCATGAGAAGAATCTCAAACCTGCATAATTCGTTGCAGTCATGGAAAATGCCAGGGTGTACTTTTACAACAGATGTGCCTTAGGCTCACATCCCTGAATTTATTCTTTCTACTGCCAGGAAAACTGCTTTCACGTTCGTTGCTGGAGGCATCACTGTGGAAGTTTGCTTCTGGAAGGTGAGTGTGCTGCTTTTCTCAATGACAAGGAAACTTTCAAGTGCCACTACATAGACAGGGAAGCAAAACCAAAATAATGGGATAACTAGCAGAGAGGAGGCAAACCTTCCATGACATTTTCAGAAATCTAGAGCTCTTAAGAGAAGCCAAGGAAGAAGTAAATAACATGCTCCTGAACTTTCTCATCAACAGAAGTTATGGCTCCTCATCAAATCCAATAAGGTCTTTCTTCACTCACCAATACTAATGCAAGTAGTGCAGGCAAGGGACATGCCAGAACTTTCTGTCTTATTTACAGATGCAATTACTAAAACCAAAAGGGCAGCAAGGATGCTATGGGGATATCCACCAGCTGAGGAACAGCTCACACTCTTCATCACAAGCTCTCTGTGAAAGTCAGCAGCACCTCGGTCCCTGTGCCACGCAGTCACAGCACGTGTTTGGAAGCACTACCTGTGGCAGTAGGCAGCCAGGGACCCCAGCAGTAGCAGGAGGACCAGCACTGCTACACACACTGTGATGGTGATGTTCCACATCTTCACTCGCTCGGTATGCTGCTGCTCCCACCACTCCAGATCGCTGAACTGGCACCGCTCCCCGACGTAGCCTGTCACACAGCTGCCAAAATGAAGTGAACACACTTTGTAACCAGCCGAGGAGAAACCCCACATCATCACTTCAGTCAACTTGGGCGTTGATTTACCACCAGCAACCGCTACGGAAATATCTGGCTGAATTTAGTAGTCGTGAAGACAAAATGACTTCAAAGGAATGGCTGGGTTAAAACTTGGGTTAAAAGACTCTTTTTACTGTAAAGCTATTGAATCATCTATAGAATTATACAAAGAGATTACAATTTTCACATTCCAATGGGTAAAGGGTAGAAAAAATAATTTTCTCTTAAATCCTGCTGTGTGATTAGTGTTTCCCTAGGATTTTCCATTTAACTGTTTCCAGCAGCAAGCTCCCCTTTCTCTGAAATAAGCAACGTAGGACTTGGTCACATTTTCAGAGTGATTTGGTTGAAGGAACCAAATTTTAACTGGAACTCCTGCTTTAAAATAAAGGACAAATGAAAGTGTTTAAAAAAAAAATCTAGTGTGCATTAGAAATATCTTCATAATTTAATTCTAATACAAGCTTCTTCTGCAGGCAATTTTTGTTTATTTTTTTGTTTTTACCACTCTAAAATCCAACACAGAAATATCTTACCAGTGCATAAAACCCTCAAATCAGAATTACTAGAAAGTGAGAAATACATCAAAAAGAATCTCAGCCGAGTTTTACTGTCCAAGGCAAGAGACATAAAAAAGGAAATAGTAAATGTGAAATACAACAATTCATAACAATCTCTCAGCAGCATAGGTTCAAATGCTTCTCACGATTCTTATCAGTCCAGTTTTACTCAAGTTAAAAGTGCCAGTCAGATGAGCAAAAGAAGCAGGACTTGATCTGCAGCAGTTTTTGCCTAATGTCCTGAAAATGTTATATCAGCATTCATTATTAAATCAGGCACAAGCACCCTCCTTCTGTTACGAGGTAGCATGCATATATAAAAAAGCGTAAAAAATGTTAAGTTTTTTATTTAAGATCACAATATATTCCAAACAAGCTTGATGATCTATTCTCTATTGTAAGAGCTTTCAGTAATTAAAATAGAGATCACATTTGGTATGTCATTTTTGCTAGGTAGGTTTTTACATCGCTTCGTTTTGGCATTTTACAGCCTACATGAATGAATGCTGCCATCTAGTGAGAATTCAGCAGTGTGAGAATACAGCAAGCTCCACACATAAACCCTGCCCAAGAACACAGCCAGGTACGGTTGTGCCTTAATTTTTTAAATGGTTTTCACTTCCAGAACTGAAGAATACATACATCTGGATTCTTACTATGCACTAACACCTAACAAATAAAATAAAATTTAAAAAAGTTATTCAATTTGAAAGTTCAGCAGTTGTAGATTCTTCAGTTTCAATAGGAGAAGCTCAGTGAGGTGAAGATAGTTTTCAATGCCTCTAAAATCTACACTAAAAATTCATTACAAATACCAGAGGTGACCATGAGTCCACCTCCTGTAGAGGCTTGGTTCAAGAACTTTGCTAACTTTAGGAAATCCATGGAACAAAGCACCTAGTTCATCCCCATATATATACATGAGATGC